AGATTTTGTCAGAATGACACTTAAACTCCCTCTCTCTTTCTCTCTCTCTATATTTCTCTCTTCACTCTCTGCAATGAAAGAACGCGCGATAAATTTAAATATAAAAACGAAATCAGAAAAAAAATTGTATAAAACACAAAATTCGATTAGGGAATCGAAAAAAAAAATTAAAAATATTGAGATTACTTTACACCAAATAAGTTCAAGTGTCATCATTATATTATTTGTAGGGGGTCTGATATAAACCTCTTTGTTTATGTGGAAAATTTCACTGCACCAAAAGGAGGAAGTATATCTCATAAGAGAGAATGACTGGTTGAAATAATGCATTTATCATGTTTCTTTGCAGTTATAAAGATCGTGTTTTTCCATTAGCATATAATTCGAAGGTGACAGACAGTGAAATAGATAATTTTAATTAATTATAGAATTTAATATATTAATTAAAAAGGAGGGGGGCTGAAAAAGAAAACGTCTTTATATTATTTATAAAACTATTTTTGAACAAATTTTTTCTCCTCTTCATTTTTTTTATCACAAATAAATTATTTAAATTGTGAAAGTTGAATAATTTACGATTATTATACTTTTTCTTTAATTACTTGATTTTTTAAATATTAAATTCATTTTTTAATTACTAAATTTTTTCAAATTATCAAATTACTTCTCTACTTACTAAATTTTATTTAAACAATTTTTTATTAATAAATTAATTATTTAATTACTAAATTTTTTAATAACTGTATTTTTTCATTACTAAATTTTTTAATAACTAAACTTTTTTATTAATAAATTTTTTACTAACTAAACTCTTCAATTTACTCAATTTTTAATAACTAAACTTTTTAATTAATAAATTCTTTAATAACTGAACTTTTTAAATTTGTAAATTTTTTATTACTGAATTTTTTACTAACTGAACTTTTCAATCATTAAGTTAATTTTTAATTAGTAAGTTTTTTAATAACTTAATTTTTTTATTACTAAATTTACTAACTGAACTTTTTAATTAGTAAATTTTTTAATAACTAAACTTTTTTATTAATAAATTTTTTACTAACTAAACTTTTTAATAACTAAATATTTTAATAACTAAACTTTTTAATTACTAAATATTTTAATAACTGAATTTTTTAATTACTAAATTAATCTTTTAATTATCTGGATTTTTTTATAACTGAGTTTTTCAATTACTAAATTAATTATTTTTAATTACTCAGTTAATTTTTCACTGATTTTAATTTAATTAGACGGTATTTATTTCTAAATGCATTTATCTATAAATTTATCTATAATAGTTGCCAATAAATTGTTATTATTTAAATTATTTATTTACCTATTAAATTATTATTTATTTTCTAACGTTTTTGATTTTATCACTCAGTCATCTTATAGTTAATTTATTATTAATAAAATTATATTTACCTAAAATGAGAACAAAAATTTTTTTAATTTAATAATTCGTAAAAAGTTTAAGAAAATAAAAAATACTTTATCAGATTTTTCTAAACAGGTGAAAAAAAATTATTTTTATGAAGACTAATTCCATCTGTTTGTAGAAACGTTAACTCTCTCACTGATAAAGTAGAAATTCGTATTTTACAAAAATTTGATGTAATTAATTTAATTAAAATAATTCCAATGAAAAAAAAAATTTGTTTGTAAAAAATTTTTTTTTCAGTTTTACAATATTGTGCGGATAAAAATTAATTTCCTTTTGAAATATTCAAAAACAATTTCTCTGAAAAATAAATTTTAATAAATTCTATAAAATTAGAATAATTAAAAAAAAAGATGATTGACTTTAGACAAAATAAATGGAGAAATAAATAGAAAAGTAATTTTATACATTTGATGATTAATATATGGATTTAACATTGGCTAGACGCGCGTTCTCAAGAAGAAAGTCGATCCCAAGATCCAATTTTGTCTCGTCGAGATCATGTTTCTTTATTCTAAAGATGATGAAAAGGTGATCCGCGAGACTATTATTGTGACTATCCAAGTCATAATGAAGTGATAATATAAACTTAATTTATATAAACTTTTGCCTCACGCGTGCGAATGAACCTTTCATCTTTGCAGTTCTTTAGAGAAAAAAAATTTAAAAAGAATTTATTTGATTCAAATAAACTTTGGTTTAAATAAAAATTATTTAAAATAAAAATTACACTTGAAATAAAAATTATTTAAGTACATAAATATTTATTTAATATATTGACAAATAATGGATTATTTGAATTAAATACATTTTTTTTCAGTGTGTTTAATCAATTAATTTATCCAAATATAAATTTTTCACCCTCACACGACGTTTTAGTAAATAAATCGTAGAAAACATTTTTCTTGTTTCATTTTTCAGAATTAATAATAGTAATTATTTTTTGTTCACTTCATCATTCGAGAAATCCATTGGAGTGTTTCTAATTGTTCGATTATATCATTTATTATTTGATCTCAATGCGCAAAACTTCCCACGATTTTTTTTCATTCTCAATTTATTGTAATAGTTACCTCATTAATAGTGTAAAAAAACAAGAGAAAAAAGAAATTAAATTTTGCAGGAAACGATTTTTTTTATGTATTTGTGTACAAACTTGACGGCAATAATAGTTTACATAACATTTTCTAAATGGTAGCAAAAAAATATTTTCAAGTTCTACAATTTTTTTTTAACTTTTAAAAATTATCTAGCAAAATTTTGTTTTGTTTTCTTTTTTTTCGTAAATTGAATTTATAATCTTTTTAATTTTTCGATTGTTACTTTCTTTTTATAGTTTTTATTTAAAATTATCTATTCTATTTTTAATATTTGTTTTAAAAAATTTAATTATTAAAACAATAATTTAAAAAATAAAAGTATTTCATTAAAATTTTTTGGAAAATCAAAATTTTGCAGAATTTTTAATGCAAACTTTGGAAATAATTGAATTTTTCAAAATTATCATTGAAATTTTGGGAAAAAATTCTTAAAAAAAGAAACAATTTTTGAAAATCTAATTTTCCCTGAATTTTAATTGAAAATTTTGCAAATAATTGAATTCACAAAATTTTTAATAAAAAATCTTTTGAACTGAAAATTTGAAAATGAAAATTAGGTTTAAAAAAATATATCGAAATATTTTTTGGAAAAGTAATTTTAAGAATTATTTCATTATCTTTTTTGAAAATTCAATTTCAATTCAATTTTCAATATTTTCAATTACAGTTTTTTGAAAATTCAATTATCTGAAAATAAAATAATTATCTACATTTACATTTTGTTGAATTAAAATATTAATTAAATTAAAATATTATTTTAATTAAAATATTTGTAGAATTAAATTTAATCTTTTTCAAAATGTTTAACATTTTTAAGAAAAAATTATTTTATTAAAACTGTCCAAAAATTTAATAATTTTTGAAAAATTATTCAATTCGAAGAAATAAAAAATGATATGAATACAATAGAAATAAAAAAGAAAAAAACAAAATAAAAATATCGTGTTTTTCGATTTTTTTCCTGTATCTTTAATCGACTGACGCGATCTTTTGTAGGGTTTAAAGTTGATCAGATTTTTTTTTTTAATAATATTTTTATATTTATAAAAATACTTTTTTTAAACTCGATTTTTTGACTTTTAAACACATAAACTTATAAGAAATTTAGGGATTTCACTCGAAAAGCTCTTATTGTTATAGAGACAATCACGAGGCACATGTGTGCACGACAAAGTATAAATATACTAAATTTACATAGGTAATTGCATTCTCGATTGTCGCACTTCGTACACCAAACTTGCGTCATTGAAATTCGAGGTCAAACAACGGTACGGGACAATTAACAAGATTCCCCAAAAATTTTATCCCCCTTCCTTTCTGTAATTTACAATTATTTTTTGCAATTCTTTTAAATTTAAATTTAAAAATTAAAGTAAAAAAAAATAAAATTTATTTTTTCAATTTTAAGAAATTCAACAATTTATAATTAAATTTATCAAATTAAAATTTCTTTACATGTAGAAAAAAAGAACGAAAAATTTATCATAAAAAAACGAATGAAAAAGAAATGAAAAATTTACCGTAATTATCATAATGAGAAAAAAAAAGGATGGAATTTTTTTCTCACAATTAAATAATCCGTTAATGATAAGAATTTATAAAATTTTCATGATTTGTGCATAAACATTTTTCGATTTATGTATTTCAACTAAAAAGAGATTCTCATGATCATGAATTGTGCTAATCAAGCTTATTATTATTTATATGCTGCCACTGCTATAAAACGTGATATTTTAAAATAATTTCTCACCTCTATGAAATATGAAAATATGTATCTCACTTTGAGTGTTCTACCTATTGGACGATCAAAGTTCTGATTTTTTTTTTTTTTTTTTTTGCTATATCTTCCAATAATTTTCAATTCCATTCAAATTAATTTTTCTATTTGGATTTCAAATTTCCTTATGTTCAAGTGTAATAAGAAGTTTGTAAATTTTTACAATTTTATTTATAAATTTAAATTTTAGAGGAAAGTATGAATTTTTTCAAAAAAAAAAAAAAAAAGAAAACAAAAATAAACTTTTAAATTGCTATGAATTTTAAAACAATGACTAAAACTTTTGTTATTCCTATAAATAATTAAGTTTATTTTGAATAATTAAATTTTTTAATTTAAATTTCATAAAATAATTAAATTTTATATAAATAAAAAGGATTTAATAATTAGTAAATGTTATTAATTTTTTTTAAATAGAAGTTTGACATAGTAATTTTATTTTTATCTTTACTTTTTTTTTATTTTTTTTAGGGATCAGGGAAAAAAAATTTATTTTTGTGGCAAGATTAATTGTTTGTATAAAAAAAATTACAAAAATTAAAAGAATACAAATTATTTGTAATTAGAGAAAGTAGAGATGCGAGATTTTTTAGTAACTAGAAACTTGGATGAAATTTTCTGTTCATAAAGCTTGGAGATAAAAAAAAATTTTGCAATGATGATAGCATTTTTTTATTATTACCTTTGTTAACGCCAAAGTCTCGATCTCGAAAATTGATTTTATGAAGGACAGTTTTTGCAGATGCTCTACGAACTATTGTAGGCGGAAAATCTGGATCATCGATGTCAAAGGAAAGACTTTCTTCGAATTCGGTTAAATTTCCTCCATTCATTTTGACAATCACTATAAAATTTTTGTTTTAGTAAAATGCACTCTCAAGGAAATTAATTTTCCCACCCAAAGAGAACGTTAATTCATTCTCAAATAATTTTTCATATATAAAATTTTTTTTTGTACTACTTTTAAATTTTCTTTCAAGTAATTTTAATTTTTGTTTCAAATAATTTCAATTTTTGTTTCAAATAATTTCAATTTTTGTTTCAGAATATTTTCAATTTTTGTTTAAAAATAATTTCAATTGAGTTTTTAATTAATTTCTAAATTCTCATCAAGGAAGGTAATATTTTTCTAATAAAAAAAACTTTGAAAGTAATTGAAATAGTTATTTGATAAAAATTGAATTATTCGTATAAGCGAAATTTTATAAGTTTAAAATTTATGCTAAAAATAAAACTTGAATGACAACGCGTTCACGAGAAGTTGTTAGAGGGGTGTCAAAAGTTAACGTACAACTTCCGGGTGTTAGCAATTTTTGTTGATTAATAATGGTTAAGTCTCAAGTAAATGAATTATTAATTTATTGTATACAATATAGAAAAATTTTTTTTTCAATTATACAAGAAAAATAGACAGTAAATTTACAATTACAACTAGAAGAGAAAAAAAGGTTATATTTACCTTTTAAATTTTTCTTACATAACACAGAAGAAAATTTTATGTTAAACTAAATTATGCAAAAATTTAAAATAAGAAATAAAAAATTTTAATTAATAAACAGTAAATTTAACACACTCAAATATATATTCTTTTAACGAATGTATATTCTTTTTAAAGTTTATTACACTTTGATTTGAAGCACATGTCATAGCCTAACAATGGACGTATAACAAAAGAATAACAGTTTGTTTCAAATTTTTTTTCCATTTTACAATAAACGATGGAAATGTAGAAAAAAAAATTTATTTATCTCAATGGTGACAATTAAAAATAATGAAATTGTAAATTTTTGTTGCAGGGAAAAATAGTGAAAACAAGCATCAAGAATCACTGAACGAAGAATGATTCGTTCACGTTGCTTCATGCTTTTTCTCTCATTTTTCCTCCCTCTTTTCTATAGACTCTTTTCAAAGTTGTTAGAACGGGAAACATTCGAGTGTGCGCAAACCATATTTCATTGTATTAATCTAACCTAAGAATATATTTGAAATTCTTTTGCGCGCTAGAGATAAAACTAAAAATTGTTTAAAAAATGTTAAAATGTATGCACTATACATTTTATTAGTAGAAAATACTCAAAATTTTAAAAATTAAAAAAATTTACAAATTTAAAATTAAAAAAAATTAAATTAAAAATTTAAAAAACCTTAAAATTTAAATTAAAGTAAATATTAAAAATTTAGAAAATCTAAAAATTTTACATTATGTGTAAATATAATTTTACCATTATGTGTATAAAAAAATTTTCTAATAAAGGTCTCAATTCTCGACTTAAATTTCCCAGTTGGTCTTCGATTTCAATTATTATTAAGATCTTCATGGATGCTTTTGTAGAATCTCGATGGGCACCTTTGAATATCCTTAATGATCGTCCTCGTGTATCATTTACTCGATTCGGCAATTTCTGCGTGCCAAAATAAATGTGACCAAATAAAAAATGTTCTCACTTTGCAATTACTTTCGAGGTTCAAGAAATTAATGTCGGTGACCATTTAAAACTGACGATTGAAACCTGAAAAAAGAATTTTTTTTTATTTTCTATTTTTTCTTAATTTTAGTAAAAAATTCCCGTTCAATAGAATTATAAGTTTACGTACGTGGACGAGGGGGAAATCGTGGTGGAAATCTCGGCGCGAACCTCGGTCCAAATGGTGGCCGATTCCTCACTGGAGGTGGTCCACGCATTGGGGGCATCATCGGTCCCATCATCATCGGTCTTGGGAAATCCTTTGAATAGTAAATATTATAATTATAACTACGAATTAGAAATCTTATCTCGACTAACTATAATATTATTATAGTTCGTTAAAAGTGGGAAAAATTCAAATTTTCAACGATTTTAGTTAGAAAAGTTTTCAAAATTCAATTATCTAAAATTTTAACAGAAATTTATTTTTAAATCTATTTTTATTACAAAATTCTACAAGAATTCAATTCATCTCATACAGAATTTTAACAAAAAAATTTTTAAATAATTGAATTCTTTCGACGAATTTTAATAAAATTTTAAGAATAATTACATTTTTCAAGGAATTCGATTAAAACTGTATTGAAAAATAATTGAAATTCTACGATGAGTTTTATTATTTTTGAAAATAGTTGAATCTCTGTTAAAAAAATTTTATTGTTCATGAAAATAATTGAATTTCTGTTCAAAAATTTTATTATTCATGAAAATGATTGAATTATTGCGAAGAAATTTATAAAGAAAATTGTAAATAATTGAATTCCTGTGAAATTTTCATTATTTATGAAAATAATTAAATGTTTGCGTAGAATTTTCTCAAAATTTTGTTTAAATAATTGAATTCTTATGGAAAATTTTAATAAAATCGTAGATATTGAAAATCGTTGAATTGAAGAAAATTTTTGAATGTAATTGAAAGTTTGCCAAGAGTTTTATTATTTATAAAAGTTTTAAGAATAATTGCATTCTTCGAAGAAAGTATTTTAAAACAATATTAAAAATAATTGGATTCTTGTAATGAATTTTAGTAAAATTGTTTTAGAATAATTGGATTTCTTTGGAGAATTTTATTATTTGTGAAAATAATTGAAGGCTTGAAGAAAAGAATTGTATTAAATTTTTTTTTCAATTCTTAAAATTTTTCGCGAGATTGAATTTCAGCAGAGAATATTATTTGTGAAAATGATTGAATTCCGGTGAAAAAAATTGTATTTTAAAATCTTTTGAATTGTTGGCTAAAAATTTTATTGAAATTTTTGAGAATAATTTTTTTATTTTATTATTATTAGCGAGTTTAAAGTAGTGTAAAATCACGAAAAACAGTAGTAAATAGTAGGTTTTAGTAGATGAGTGCGAAGTCTGCGTTTTTTTTTAAATTGAAGAAATTTCGAATCTTACCCCGTAGTAGACAGGAACTGTTATGTCTTCTATGTGAGAATCTGTTGTCATTTCTCTCGATTTGCGTTCCGAATTTTCTCTTTCAGATTGTCGATAATTATCACGTCTCTCCCGAGATCTTCCTCGATCATCTCTGAAATATTGAATCAAAGGAACATTAAAATGTGCCCACCTTTTCAGTGTGTAATATTATTAAATTGAATATTAAAAAATTAAACATCTCATATAATTAGAAATTCTTCAAAGAAAAGTTAACCTCCTCGATCGGCTTAATTCATCACGTCCCCTGTCTCTTGAACCAGATCTTTTTCTCGATGATGCTCGTAGAGGTGAATAACTCGATCTATCGTGATGACGTGATGATGATGGACGAGACCGATCATTTGATCTTTCACTTCTTCCATTTCTTCTATATCGTTCATAAAAAATAAAGTCGTTATTATCATAAAGTCACTGCTGTTTGTAAAAATTTATCAATTAAAAAAAATTTTCTTCTCGCTTCACTTAAATAGTGAGTTTCCAAGAAGTCAAATTACCTATCACTTGATTTACTTCGTCGTTGACTTCTCCTCCGTTGATTATGTACAGAACGTTCTCTTCTGTGGATAGAAAATATTAATTTAAAAAATCTGTCACCAAAGAAACATTAAAAAAAAGGTCAAATAAGTGAAATTTAATTTGTTATTACAGAATGGATTTTGAACACCTGATTTCATTAAATATTTTTGTTATTTGATTTTTTCCTGCTACAAAATGATAAATGCAAGTAAAGAAAAACTCACCGCCTTGATCGGCTCAATTCACCACGTCTCCTGTCTCCTGAACCAGATCGTTCTCTCGATGATCGTCGTCGGGGTGAATAATTCGATCTATCATGATGATGTGATGATGATGGACGTGACCGATCATTCGATCTTTCACTCCTTCCATTTCTTCTATATCGTTCTGATTTTTTAAAACTAATAGTTTTAATTTCTTCACATTCTTCTTCATCGGAAAATCTTGAGTCATCAGGTGTTTTTAATTCAATTGCATCAAATATTGGTCTAATTCCTTCGTCTAACACAACAACAAAAAATAATCAAATATATAACGCATGGTGATACATCATACTTGTTTCGAGAAAGAAGTTAAAAAATATTCTAGAATTTCTTCCGGAAATAATAAAAATAATTCTATCAAATTTTACTCTCATATATATTTTACTGAAATACTTTTCACACTGTAAAAATCATAATTGAAATTGGTTTATTTTCCTTGTTGATCTTCAGTTGTTGTCTTCTTAATGTTGTAAGAAATTAATTGCAATATTAATTGTAAAAAAATAACGACTCTTTTTCAAATTAAAAGTATAAAAAAAACTGTATAAATTTATTCTCCATTAGTCTTCCTTAATTCTCATTTATCTATTAATTTAAAAAAATTTAATACTTTCTTAGATAGATAGCTTTAACTTTCATAGATAGCTCTAAAAATTACCGATTTCATTTTTAACTCTTATGACTTCATGAAGAAATTGATTTATTTTTCTTGTTGATCTTCAATAGTAATCTTGAATTTGACGAATTGTAAGGAAAATTGATAGAGATATATTACCATCACGTCTTTTTACTATCACATCTTCGGGGTTTATTATTTCTCGTTGAAGTTTTACATTTGTGGCGATTGCTCCTGGTATATTTCGACGAATATCAACTTTTATTTGTCGTAATTCGGCTTCTGTTGGTTTCGACGATGTACTCGGTCCACGAAATATACTTTCTCGTGATGTCTTGTACCTAATTTAAAATAATCAAAATTTTCGTTTTTAATTGTACAAAGCAAATAGTGAAGAGAAAATTAATTTATAATTACATTTCGGACATGACACGAGGATTAGTGATGCTTTTACTTCCATCATTGTCTTTGCTTGCACTTTGGCTACGAGGGAAAATATTATTCGTTTTATTTAATAAAGCTGCTCTTTTTAATTCATAATCTAAAATCTTTTGTTGTTTCAAACGCTCATGTTCCCTTTCTCTTTCTTGTTGAATCAACCATTTGTTTCTTCTGCTGTCAAAGTTTTCCATTTCTCTTCGACTATTTTATCACTTTTTCGTCGATTGATACAGTTTTTTTTACAATAAAAGTTCTGGACCAAAGTTACCTTAAATATACTTAAGTATTGTTTATCGTTAATGTACAATTTACTATTAATTTTTATGTATATAATAAAATATATTTATTATATTATACAATATTTTATATAAAATAGGGAAAAATTCACCCATAACCAAAAATACAAAACTAAATGTCAAGGCGAGTACCCAATTTCAATGTCGTGAAAATCCTCATAAATTTGGTCACGTGCGTGCGCCAATAACATAACCTAGACAGGTTGCAGAGCTATGAATGCACCTTTATTTTAAATGACTAAACTAGGAAATACCACAAAAAATTTCAGAAGTGTATCTTCTTAAAAATGTAAAAAAAACGACTCATGTGTATAAATTTTAATCACTCAGTATTTATTCAATATTTATTCTTACTGCGTAAACTTTAAAAATTAATAAAAATGTAATTAATGAAACAAATAAAATATCGTAACTAAATTATATTTTCAAAAATTCATACAAAGAAAAATATTCATGCTTCACAAATATAAATAATTTGAGATATAAAATTGCTAATAAAAAATTTCCCTTAAAACGTAGTATACACATAATGTCGAAAGTACTTATTTTCCTAATAAAAAATTTTCTCACTTTTCAATTACTTTCGAGGTTCAAGAAATTAATGTCGGTGACCATTTAAAACTGACGATTGAAACCTGAAAAAAGAATTTTTTCTTATTATTCTATTTCTATTTTTTCTTAATTTTAGTAAAAAATTTGCGTGCAATAGAATTATAAGTTTACGTACGTGGACGAGGGGGAAATCGTGGTGGAAATCTCGGCGGGAACCTCGGTCCAAATGGTGGCCGATTCCTCACTGGAGGTGGTCCACGCATTGGGGGCATCATCGGTCCCATCATCATCGGTCTTGGGAAATCCTTTGAATAGTAAATATTATAATTATAACTACGAATTAGAAATCTTATCTCGACTAACTATAATATTATTATAGTTCGTTAAAAGTGGGAAAAATTCAAATTCAATAATTCAATAATTGAATTCTGGAAAAAAGAATTTTATTTTAAATTCTTTTGAATTGTTGGCCAAAAATTGTATTAAAATTTTTGAGAATAATTTTTTTATTTCAATTATTATTAGCAAGTTTTAAGTAGTGAAACTTTTTTTTAAAATTTAAGAGATTTTGAATCTTACCCCGTAGTATATGGGAACTGGTATATGTTCTACATAGTGAGGATAACTCATTTCTCTCTCTCTGCGTCCCGAATTTTCTCTTTCAGATTGTCGATAATTATCACGTCTCTCCCGAGATCTTCCTCGATAATCTCTGACATTTTCGCTTCTGAAATATTGAATTAAAAGAACATTAAAATGTGCTCATCTTTTCAGTGTGTAATATTATTGAATATTAAAAAATTAAACTTCTCATATAATTAGAAATTCATCAGAGAAAAAAAAATTACCGTCTCTGTCGGCTCATTTCATCACGTCTTCTGTCTCCTGAACGAGATCGCTCTCTCGATGATGGTCGTCGGGATGAATAACTCGATCTCTCGTGATGATGAGATGACGATGGACGAGAACGATCATTTGATCTTTCACTCCTTCCATTTCTTCTGTATCGCTCATAACTATTATCGTCGCTGCTGTTTGAAAAAATTTAACAATTGAGGCCTTGGATCCAATAACTCGCCCGACGCTCGAAGGCACGCGCTAATACCAGTCGGGTAGCAGTGAGTGGCCCAGAGGCGCTCACTGCTCACTGACTGGCAGTTGCGCGTTCCTCCGAGCGTCGGGCGAGTTATTGGATCCAAGGCCTCAATTAAAAAAATTGTTTTCCTGTCGCTTTATTTAAATAGTAAATTCTCAAGAAGACAAATTACCTATCACTTGATTTACTTCGTCGTTGACTTCTTCTCCGTTGATTATGCACAGAACGTTCTCTTCTGTAGATGGAAAATATTAATTAATAAATGTCCCATTATTTTTTTTCTTGGCAAAAAATAATCAATTTTTAATCTATTGTTTTTCATACGTCCAATATGTTTTTTTTACTTATAATTATTTTTGTCCAATATGTTTTTCTTTTACTTATAATTATTTTTGTCCAATATGTTTTTCTTTTACTTATAATTATTTTTGTCCAATATGTTTTTCTCTTACCTATAATTATTTTTGTCCAATGTTTTTCTTTTACTTATAATTTAGACATGCAATTTTTACCAAAAATATAAAGCAGAAAGGGAAAGAAAAATTAAAGTAGATAACACATGTAAATTATAATGATAGATAGTTTGTTTAAAACAACTAAATAGCAATTTAAAAAAACTCAATTCAGAAATTGCAACCACCAATGGAAATCCATTGGTAATTTTTATAAATCTAAATTACTGTAAATAATCAAGGCAAAGGCGCCTTAATTACTCAGAGTTTGTGATACCCCTTTCCCTATATTTCTCCCAGGAAAAATATGTTCGTCATTATTTTCGCAGTTCCCTTGACCCGAAGCATTTGGTTACAATGCTCAATCCAAAACTGCAAATAAGAATAAAATAAATTAAATAAAAAAAATAAATAAAATTTCCATATCTTTAAATCCTTAGAAGTATTCCTTATTTCTCTAATAACTAGTTGCAGTTTCTGAAATATATTTTGATAAATTTCTTATAAATTAAAATTAGTTGTCAAGTAGAGTAATTAAAATATTAGAGAAATATGCATTATAGAAAAGCACACAAAGAAAAGAATAGAAGAGATGCTTCAAATACAGACACACATAGAAACTGTTACAAAAAATTCCACATCTTTCCAGAAAAAAAACGATTTTAGTTATTTTTAATTTAATTTCACTTAATCAGGGTTGCCACAGAAATTTTATTTATCAACCCTGTTAATTTACTTTTTATATTGATTAAAATTTAATATTCAGTAGATGAGGAATTTTTAGAGAATGAGAAAACTTAATTGAAATCGTATTAATTAACATAATCACCTGGCACGTCGCGATAATGATAGATCTCTTGTACTTCTGTTATTCTCCTCTGGTGAATTTAAAGATCTGGATCGTCGTTTCAGCGAATTATTTTCTTTTCCTAAAAAAAGAAATATATAATAAAATTTGCTGCATATTAAAAAATTGATTCTAATTGTAAATTAAAATTTCTACTTGATTTTTCAATATTGATGGTTGAAACTTCTCGACGTTCGATTTCGGCAGGAAATTTCGGCTTGTCAGGTGGCCTTAATTCAACTCGATCAAAAATTGGTGTAATTCCCTCGTCTTGAGAATAAAAAATGTTAAATTAAATTTAAATGTACAATTATCCTTCTTTAAGAAGAAAAAAAATCAAACTTCAAACACAATAAAAAGTTTTAATACTTTCTAATTAGTTATTAGTTGAAATTTTTTATATAAATATACATTAAATATTAGTGTATATAAATTCAAATTCCTTTAAATTAAAAAGATAAATAACTATTATTGAAATTAACTTAATAATAATACTTCATTATCCGTGGGTTTTCCATCTTCCTGGAGGTTCGAAATATGTATTTAAAAAATTTTTTTTTATCGACTAGTAGATAATTCAATTTTTTTTTTTTGAAATACAAGGAATAATTAATTAATCTTTATATATTTCAAGGTAAATGTCCCAATTTTATATCAAATCTCATAAATACTTTAATTTTCAAAAAAAATTATATAATTATTCGCAAAGTTCACAAATAGAACCTTATAGTAAAAATATAAATATTCTTCATTGTTGATTTTCGATAATGTGTGGAAATACTGAAAAATAATAGGTACTCACTTGATTATCTTCAATTGTTTAAATGATGTCTTCATCTTGAATTGAGCTGACACTTTTTTAATATCATTACAGGAATGCTATGAATTAAGTCAAATCATTTTTAATTTTTTAATCTTTTTGTGACAAGATTTTATCTCAATGGTAAATTTATTATTGAAAGTTATTTATAATTTCAAAATTTAAAAAATTATTATTAAAAGTTATTTATAATTAAAAATTTGAAAGATTATTATTATTAAAAGTTATTTATAATTAAAAATTTGAAAATCTTTATTTATAATTATATGAATATGAAAAATTAGTTAATTTATACTTGTTTCTTACTATTTACTATTAATCTTGCGGGCTGATTTTTATTGCAATTTGCCAAATAGATTAAAAAGTAAAATTATCTAGACAAATTTAAAATTCGACTTTTTATTTTAATCACCAGAAGATTGAGTGTGTATATAATTGAAATATATTTTTGCTATACTCTGTGAAATATATTTTTGCATTATTCTGTGAAAATAAATATATTTTTTTCAATACTCTGTGAAAATAAATATATATTTTTGCAATACTCTGTGAAAATAAATATATATTTTTGCAATACTCTGAGAAAATAAATATATTTTTTTCAATACCCTGTGAAAATAAATATATATTTTTGCAATACTCTGTGAAAATAAATATATATTTTTGCAATACTCTGTGAAAATAAATATATATTTTTGCAATACTCTGTGAAAATAAATATAATTCTTCCATACACTGTGATAATAAATATATTTTTTGCAATACTCTGTGATAATAAATTTACTTTCAGATAATAAATATATTTTTTGCAATAGTTTGTGAAAATTATGCATTAATATATTTTTGCAAAACTCTGTGAATATAAATATATTTTTGCAAATCTAATTCGTACTTTTGAAAAATACTTTAAAATATATTTTTGTAACTCTGTGTTTCAAAAATCTTCATCTTCATAGAATCATAGAATTCATCTTCATTGAATCTTAAAATTTACCATTAAAAAAATTAAATTACTTAAAAATACTTAAATTCTATTTGTGTCAAATTTTGACATTGTCAATAAGCAATATTCCAAATTCTGTAAAACATACCTCGATGAAGAATAAACACTTTGAGATCTAGCCCCCGTTTCTGCAGTTGAACAATTTTGCGTATTTTCTGAAAAAAAAATAATAATTAGTTTTTTTATTTCTGTTAAAAAATATTATTAAGAAAATTTTCTCCAAATATTGAGTTACAAACCTAAAGTTTCATTTCTAATTGTTCTTGTTTCTCCATTTGTCGAGGTTGAAGGTTTTGATTCATTAATGCTAAGATTCTCAAAAATAGGCCTTCTTCCTTCATCTACAAATTTAGAACTTATTAAAATTGGGAAAATTAAACTCAAAGATCATACATATTTTTATTGTTTTGAGAATTCAAAAATTAACAATTTTTTTTGTGTCGCAGACTTCGCACTCGACAAAAAAAATTCGTTTTAGACACTTCACAAAACTGACAAAAATTCCATTCTACATTTTATTTTCGTGATTTTTTCCTAATTTTCAACAAAAATATTTACCTTTTTCTTATCCTACTAATAAATTTTTTGACCTGCAAAGAATTTTATTAATCATAAAAGAATTTAAATATTTATAAAAATAATTTAATTCTTGAGAAGAATTTTATAAAGTTTTTTAAATAATTGATTTCTTCCGACTACTTTTATGCAATTTCTAATTTAAATAATTGAATTCTTGTAGAAAATTTTATTTGTGAAAATAATTGAATTATGCGATTAATTAATTTAAAATATTATTAAAAATAATTGAAATTCTTCGATGAGTTTTATTATATATGAAAATAATTGAATTCTTGCTTAGAATTTGAGCAAAATTTTTTTTAAAAAATTGAATTTCCATGAAAAATGTTATTATTAGTGAAAGTAATTGAAGTGTGAAGAATTGTATAAAAATTTTGTTGAATAATTGAATTTTATCAATTTTTTTTTAAAATAATTGAATTGTTTTGCGAAATTTTATGAAAATACTAGATATTGAAAATAATTAAATTTTGAATATTTTTTGAAAATAATTAAATCGTTTTAAAGAATTTGATTAGTAGATGAGTGTGAAGCCTGTTGTCGAAATATTTGAATATTCTCGAAACAATAATTTCCAGATATCCTTTAGAATCTTCAGTTGAACAGAATTAATTTAATTTAATAACAGAATTAATTTCTCTATATTGTGAGAATCAGTCATTTTTTTTTAATAAACTTGGTTTTAACGAACATTTTTTTTTCCTTATAAAAATATTTCAAAAGAATTTTTTTGACAATTGAAAATTTACACTAATTGATCAATTTTGAAAAATTCCTTTTTTATAATTGTGAAATTATTTTCATTTTAGTGGAAAAAATTTGTTTTCTTCCCCTTATTCAGTGATTGATCTTCAGTTGTTGTCTTCATGTTGATGAATTTGTAAGAAAAATTGAAAAAGAAAAATTACCCTCACGCCTAGCAACAATCACATCTTCAGGGTTTACTATTTCTCGGTGAAGTTCTGTATTTGTGTTGACTGGTCCTGGTATAGTTCGATGAATATCAACTTTTATTGTTCGTAATTCGGCTTCTGTTGGTTTCGTCGATGTACTCGGTCCACGAAATAAAGGTTCACTTCCTCCTGGTGTCTCGTGCCTAATTTACACGAATGATGATTAAATTTTTGCTAAATTGAATTTAAATACAAAATTTAAAAAATTTAAATACTGCAAAAAAGAAAAATTGTCCCAAATTGAATAATAAATTTATTTACTTTAAATTTCTTTATAAAAAAAGATTTTATAATAAAAGATTATAATGTAACGATTGAGGAAATAATTATTTTCTCTTTGGAATTATTAAAATCGCGTATTATTTTGATAATTACTTTTCGGACATGACAGGAGGTTTAGTGATGTTTTTATTTCCACCATTGCCTCTGCTTGCACTTTGACTACGAGGGGAACTATTATTCGATTTATTTAATAAAGCTGCTCTTTTTAATTCATAATCGAAAATCATCTTCTGTTTTCGAATCTCGTGCTCTCTTTCTCGTTCTTGTTGAATCAACCAAGCCTCTCTTCTCTTGTCCTTTTCATCGTCGACTCTTCTGTCACTTCGTCGATCTTCACTTCGTGATCTTCTCGATCGTCTGTCTCTCGATGATGAACTAGGTGATCTTCGTCTCATTCTGATGTTTCTAAGACTTTTTTCTGCACCAACAAATTGATTTTTAATTAAAACTAAAAATACTTTAAATCCTAGTTAATATTTTTTAAGATTTTTATTTTGTGTCAAATTAAGTTGACTTAATTTCAAATTTAATTTTTAAGTTGAAAATTTAAGTCACTTTTTTCATTAATTAAAATTACGTGAAATAAATAATGAGTATAGGTAATTATAAAAATTTATAAATGTCAATTTATTTTAGCGGTTCGAGAATGACGTTTCGAAAAAGAGGTTATTTTTTTGTAAATTGTATCAAGTAAATTTATTTGTTTCAATTGATGATAGTTATTAAGAGAAATTATAATTATTGTAAGGAAAATAGAAAATTAATAAGAAAGATAACTAATTAAGAAAAGAAAAATCTATAGGTTATAAAAAAACACTCGTAAGGAAGAATATTTTTACCTTATTAGCACAAATTGAAAACTTAAAAACTGCTGACAAATTAAAAGCACTTTAAAATTTAAACACAACACTTGTCACTTTAATAATATTAATAAACACTTTTCATCTAGTAAAAAAGAAACATGCACTACTGACGCCTGTTAAAGCAAGAATGACAATGAATGGCGGCGTCCCGCGTCATTTGCCGGTCGGTCGTTAACCGGAAGTAATTATTTCCACTAGATGGCGTTCCATCAATAGCGCTAAATTAAAAAAGTTCGAAGAGATCTCTAAAAAATTCAAAGTAATATTTAAAATTTTTGTTTATTATCAAGATCAATTAATTACTTAATTAAATTAAATTACTTAATTAAAAAATTTTTAACAGAGAGAATTTTCGTCAATTTCAATCAGAAAGAAATTTTCAATAGTTTTACTAGCATCGACCACCAGGTTGCGTGCTTCATACCGGAAGTTAATATTTCAGTCTTGTCTTGAGTCAAGTTCAGTCAAGTTGACTGTTATTTTTTGACAAAAACATTGGATGATAGGCATAACCTATAAAAGGTAGAATAATTTATTTGTTTATAATTTTATAAACAAAACTATTCTTGAATATTTATTCAGTGACAGTGTGAGTGAAAGTGGGTGAAATTAAGTTTTAATAATGTCACATCAGAAGAGCTGGCAGAAACGATGCGATGTAAAATATTGCGTGAATGCAAATAATTATCTCGTGACATTTTTTCCAACTCCTAAGGATCCTAATTTATTTAAACAATGGCAACAAGCAGTTCAATGTACAGGGACGATTTTGCCACAAAATGGTCGTGTTTGTGAGAAACATTTTCGTCCTAAGGATATTTTGGAGTTTACGTGTTTAAAAAAAGGAGAAGGATCTAACACCTCATTAGATGTTAATAATGTAAGTATAATTATATTATTTCGTAACACAATAAATTAATTATTATGCCCGTTTTTAATTTAAAAATAAAAATTATTTTCGAATCGAATAAATTCCAGGAAAACATTAAATTAAGAGTTCCTGTTAATGGAGCAATTCCTTCAAGATTCGACGATGAAATTGCCATTTATTGCAGAGAAAAGGAAACAAATAATAAGGAATTACCACCGAATTCTATGATAATTGAAAATAAAATTGTTCCTTGTATAGAATCTATTAAGACGGAGCCTAAAATGATTGTAGCAATGTCTGAAAAAAGACCTCAACTTACTTTTCCGATAAAGAAAATTGTTCGTCCTTTGAATACTGCACCAACAAAGCTACCTGTGATTTTTTCTCAAGTTGAAAAGAAATCTAATAAAGAATTAGTCGATCGTGTGAATTTGAATTCTTCTCTAATTACATCGAATTCCGAGGAAAATTCTTTAACTCAAAAGCAAATTATTCCACCTGCCGAAATAGCGAAAGCAAAACTCAACAATAACGAAAGAGGTTGGTTATTTAGTTTTTTTAATTTCAGACATCAAAACTTTAGAATGCTTTTAAATACTATTTAAAAACTATTTAAATAGTTTTTAAATACTTTCCATTGTTATTTAATTTGAATAATAAAAATAATTTTTGGAAATTCCCTTCTTGTGATTTTCTAATTGATTTTTAATGACCCTTTACAGGTAACAGTATTCAAATGATTAGAATGAGAACGATCAAGGATACGTTCTTTGAAAAAATATACAATGGACTAATTGAACCTCGTCTACCGAATAGAGCCTGGAATATTCATAATTGCGAACAACCTCAAAAGGGAGTAATTTTTGCAGAATTAGCAGAATTAAGTAGCGATCATCGAGTTCCTCCAATTCTTAAAAAATCAGTAAGTCAAAATGTTCAAATTATCTAAATTCAGTTAAATTTAATTGTAAACAAGTTCAGTTTAGAATTTTTTTTCTTTAAATAAATAATTGAATTTTTAACGAACTTTCTCAAAAATAATTAAAAATAATTTAATTAAAGAAGAATTTTTGTCTTTCCAATTATTTTTAGAGAATGAATGAAGATATTCTTTAGGGTCAGGGAAAAAAATTTCAATCCTTAAATCAGGAAAAAATAAAATCAAATTCTTGTGTGCAAGCCTGTATAAAAAATATTGAATATTCAATTTCTTCTTTTAATGAATATTAATTTTTTCTTTTTCAGGTATTTTTCGACGAGAATTTCAATGTGAAAATCTATTTTTTTGGTAAACTTTTTCCAAACGTCGAATATGAACCACCAAAAGGTATCAGTGATGTTGAAGAATTTTTACGACAAATTGATGCATTAAAAATATGCGAAGGCGGTCCACGTTTAACGGAATTATCAAATTCAAAATTTGCATTTCGTGACGAAGCAATTTATAAATGGCGACACAATAATTGTGAGCTTCGTTTAGAAAAGGGACAAGTTTGTAAAAATTGTTCGCTACTTTGTAAAACTGTTGGTGAACGTAATATTGATTTATTAACAATATCAAAAACATCGACAAAAAGAATAAGAATCGATCCAAATGAGGGAAATAAAATTAATATTACAAAAGACCATTAAAAATGACTGAGAAACAAAAAAATAGTTGATAATTATATACAAAAGAGACTTTAATTTTTGTAACTATATTCAAATAAAAGAATATTTTTGTGTTAATTTGCAAAGAGTTTTGAATATTTGAATTTCTCCACTCTATGTTCATTTTGTGGAACTAAAAGCTAACCTCAATTATTTCCACGTGTTTGTCGTGGAAGTCGTGGACACGAAGTGTTTATATTTTCTAATGATTTTTTTATTTACTGCGATTTTTAAAACCCTTTTTTCTTCAATTCAATGAAAATTTATAATTTTTCGAATAATTAACTATAAGTGAAATGAGTGATAAAGTGAAAGTGATGAATTGTGTAAAAGATGCTTTGTTGTCAACAACAAAAGTTGACATCAACAGACTATTCACAGGAGCCACAGGAGAAAGTAATATTTCCTTTAAATTGGAAAATGAAAATATCAATTTTAATTATTCGTTGACAAAAAATGAGATTTCAACTTTATTGCGAATGACATTATTTCATTTATTACGATTCAGACAAAATGGAACATTAAACGATGATAATAATTACAACTGTCGGATGATTATAATTTCTCTTCTTCACATATCAAACGATTTTGAGAAAAAAGAAGTTCTCAATGAAAGTGTGAATTGTATTTTTAAAAATTCTTCTGTACTCGAATATTTTCTTCCCGTTTACAAAAAGAAAAATACTGTCGACGAATTGTTTACAGACACATTTTTAATAATATGTCAAACTCTTTGTAGTTTTAATCAAGATTTTCAAAATATTGCCACAATTAATTTGTATAAAGAGAAATTTTTCAATTTATTGAAAGCAAGTGTTGAAAAATGTAAGAATGGTGGTAAAACAAAAGAATTGGTGAGGGGAGAATTTTTTAAAATTCTTCCATTTAATCCGGGGGAAATTGTTGATTTAATTAGTATGATTATGGAATTGCCTGCAGAGAAATTTCTCTCATCAAATAAAACATCAATGTCAACTTGGGGAATTACGATTACGAATTTAATTGATTTAGAAGTGGAAAAACAATCAATTCCTCTCGATTTTGGTGTTGTAAAAAAATTATTTTCGATTCTAAGTGTATTGAATTCGACAATTGATACAATTACCTGGGAGAAATGTTTATGTAGATATGTGGAAAAATTTCCTCACAGTATTGGAAACATCGAAAAAGGTATATATCATTTAAATAATATTAATAAATAATATAATATTTGAATTTTTCAGGGTTGCCACAAATCAGGGAAAATCAAAGAAAAAGAAAATTAATTTTTTGTGGCAACACTGTTTTTCATTATGATTTTTCTAAATGTTTTTATAATAAAAAATATATTTTATTTTTTAGGATTGTTGTCTTCATTGCTGTCAAGTAAAATGAGACCGGAAATTGTTGAATTGTTCTCACTGTTTGTCAAACGAAATGTTGTCGATATTTCTCTATTTTTGAAGTTTGTCAAAAAGGACGATTCGATAGTGAAAATGTCTAATATTATATTTCCAATATTAGAAAGTAATTTAACGCACAATTGGGACAGGCAATTTTTAATTAAATTGCACGACTTGCATAAAAATGAAATTATCACATATCTGAAAGAAAATTCACAAGAGAATTCTTGGATTCAAGAAAATGTTGTGGCTGTAATTTATTTAATTGAATCGACATTTGGTAAATCATTTTTTATTCTTTTGTTTTATTTTAAATATTTGAATTCAGATTTAAATACTATTTCTATTTAAATTCCTATTTAAATAGTATTTCTATTTCTATTTAAATTCCTATTTAAATAATATTTATATTTCTATTTAAATTCCTATTTAAATAGTATTTCTATTTCTATTTAAATTCCTATTGAAATAGTATTTCTATTTAAATTTAAATTCATATTTAAATAGTATTTTTATTAATATTCAAAATATTGAAAATATTAATTTAAATTTGCATTTTTTAGATTCACGAACGTGTGAGGAAATTTGCAATTCTATTTTAGTAAATGGCGATAAACTTGTCAACGTTAATATAGAATATATGCAAATTATCGACTGTTGTTTTGGAAAGATGAAAATGTATAAAGAATATTTACAAGTTTTAATACATTTAATGGCATTGACATTAAAATTATCGAAAAGTAAAACTACTTTGGCGAAGAATAAAAGGAAATTAAATTTTCTTAGCCGAAAATTAATAACAACAGTTGAGAATTTAAAGAAGAATGATGAAAAATTCGTTTATGATGAACTGAGTAAAAATCATTTTTGGGCACAATTCATAAGATTTTCTTTGGGTCAGTGCTTAAAATTGACTGATGATGAACAATTATTTGATAATACACTTTTGTTTCGAGCCGTTATTTCAATTTGCAGTATAGCATACAATGACAATGGTAACGAAGAATATGTCACAACTATTTTTGGATTAGCAACAAGTCATTCGGAATATGTCGATATTATGTTGAGTTCTTCAAATATAAAAAGTATGTATTTCAAAATTACAATTTTTAATATTTCTAATTTAAATTATTTGTTTTTTCAATTTATAAAATTGAAATTTGAATACTGTTTAAATTCTTTTTCTTTTATTCTTTCAGGATATTTAGTAGAATTGTTACTGATCCTGATACGAAAGAATAAAATAATAATGCTACCAAATCATGTTCCATTTTATTTATCAGCGTACAATGCATCGCTCAGTGAATGTGATCAAATTTTATTACTGGTGAGAAGAATTTTAATAAAAAATAAAAAAAATTACTAAATTATTATTTTTGTTTTTTAAAATATTGTTTTCGATTTACTGGTTTTGTTTTCAAATTACATTTTTTTTCAGATATTGAAAGAATACGAGAATTCGAATATTGATTTATCAAAATATCGACCATTTTTATGGGGCAGTGCTGCAGCTTCACATTACAGTGTTAAAACTGATATTGACAATGCACTTTGGAATCAACCGAAGACTTCGCAAATTTTAGATCTTTTTTTACCGGAAATTGTCAATAGTACAATTACAAAATTTCCTGTTCAACGAACTTTGAAGGTAATTTTTCTTTAAAATATTTTGTCATAAAAAAAAGAAAAGCAAATTTTTGTAAAGGTCCGTAAATTTGCTTCAAGTCCGTAAAAGTCAGTTTTTTTAAAATTATTTTCAAAAGAATTCAATTATTTAAACGAAATTTTGATAAAATTCTATGCAAACATTTAATTATTTTCATAAATAATACATTTTTTTTAGGAATTCATTTATTTTCTTAAATAATAAAACTCAATGCTGAATTTTAATTGTTTTTAAAACAATTTTAATGGAATTCTTTGAAAAGTGTAATTATTCTTAAAACTTTTATTAAAATTAAATTTTCTCTTTTCTTTTAGAATGATTCGCTGTGCACTCCAGAGGATGTCTATGATCCTGCTTTTTATTTGCCAGTATTATGCGAATTGTTATCTGTTCATAATCCAGTTGCTTATCACAGAGTCACTCACAGTGGTGCTTTAGCTTTAATGTTGATTGCCGGCTGTAGTGATTGCGAACAAATTCGTCTAGCATCGTTCACCGTTCTCTCGAGATTTTATTCTCATTTGGAAAATCCGGATGTTGTCAGGTCTATTATTCAAAAAATTCTTTTTCCACAATTTTCAATTTTCGTTCATATTTTTGTAGCTATTGAAATGAATTTATAATTTAAATCAATTTATAAAAGAATTTATAATCGAAATTTATAATACAATTTATAATAGAAGTTAATTTATAAAATTGAAGTAAATTTCCTATTTTTGTAGTAATTGAAATGAATTTATAATTTAAATCAATTTACAATAAATTATAATTATGGTTTATTATAAATTTTAATTTTAATTATGATTTTCTTTAATTATAATTATTTTGAATTAATTATTGTGAATTAATAAAATTTCTCAAATTAACAAAAATCAAATTTAAAAATTGTAGATCGAACGAGAGTTTATTGTGGGTTCGCTTTATCGATGCTCTGAGAAATGGAATCGTTGAATTGGAAATGTCTATGAAAGAAGTGAGATTAAATGGATTTGTCGCCACATTTTTGGCACGTTCTTCAATTGTTGGAACTCAACCTCTACATCCACTTTATTGGCCTTTGCATAAATTTTTCATGGCTCGACCCGCATTGAAATTGAACAAAATACCGGAATTCAAAAAATTATTTTTCAGCACCGAAATCGATTACGAGGCGCATCGTTCTTGGATTTTGGAGGTGATTCGCGATGGATTTCGTGTTGAAAACGATTTGCAAATTGCAATCAACAGTTCGGTATTTAACATTCTTTTGAGCTTCTACGTCTCTTCTTTATCGGACAAAGCAACAAGAGTGAGTTTTATATTTTCTCATTTTTCACTCCTAATTTCTCTACTGTATTTGGAAATTAATTTTGTTCAGAAAATAATTTTATTTAGAAAAAATTTTCTTTAGAAAACAATTTTATTTAGAAAATAATTTTATTCAGATAATAATTTTGTTTAGAAAGTAATTTTATTTGGAAAATAATTTCATTTGGAAAATAATTTTATTTGGAAAATAATTTTATTTGGAAAATAATTTCATTTAGAAAATAATTTTGTTTAGAAAATAATTAAATTTTCTTTTCTCTTTTTAGAAATTCATCCTGGAAATTATAAATTCAGTGGCGAAATTACCGAAATCTGCCTGTTCGCTCGTTAATTATTATGGAATTATTCCTTGGCTGAATGCAATTACAGAGAGTCTTGAATCTTCGGACATTGATTTTGTTCCATTATTGATTGATGTGGGAAAAAATTTTTTCGACAGTTTCACAAAAAGAAATATGAAAGATAAATTTTCTCTTCTCACTTTTCTGCAATTTCTACTTAATCTCAAGTCTGTAATGACAACTAAAAGTATAACAATTTCTTCTTTCGTCACTTACATTGATCTTGTGGAGAAAATTTTGTCGCTTAAAGGTATTTCTTTATCGGAGAAGCACATGAATGAATTATTCGAATTAGCTGAGAATTTATTGGGAAATATGGAAGAGTGTAAGAATTTATTAATCTACGGATCGGAATTTGCTTCGAAAGAAGTTGACGATTTATTAGAAGACAAAAATTTTGTTGCTCGCAAATCAGTGAGAAATTTGATATTAAGGTATCATTTTTCGAAAATGATTTTCAGTAAAAATGTAAATTAACTAAATGAACTATTTTTGTATTGTGTTTTCTAAGAGTAAAAAAAATTGAAATTAATTCAATGAGTTCTTTTGTTTTATTTGCTTGTTTTTGTTAAATTTCGAGTACTTTATTTTCAATTTTCAAAATTGTTCAAAATGTCAATTCGAATATTTTTCTAACGAATTCTTCCGGGTTTTTTCGAAAATTTTACGTATTGCAAGTTAATCATGTTTAAAATACTTCGAAACAGTTCGAAATGAATTTTTTTAATTTTTGACAGTTTGTCAATAAAATTTAGTTTTTAATAATGGAGAAATAGAGAAAGAAAACTTGGAGATTTTTTGGTGAAACGAAAGTGGATTTGAAAAATGAAAATTTTATTTGGACACAAAAATAATGGTGAGTGAAAAAAAATCTAATTTTGTTTTTAATTTTCAATCTTCAATTCAAAAGAATTAAATTCTAAAAAGTAGAAAATCTAAAAAGAAATTTGATTTCAGGTCAGAAAATTTTCACAGGAACTGAAAAATGGTTGGCACATCGTCGAATTTTTGGAATTCTGGCAAAATTAAGTCAAAAGAAAGTGAATTTTCTCCAGCAGCCAAATTCAACGTCTTTGAAAATTGTTAGCAAATTAATTGACGATGTGGAAAATGGCCAACCAATTGGAATACTGCAAATAATTGCTATCAGCAAAGCACTAAATCTACAAATTCACGTGAGAAATCGGAAAGATAATCTTAATTTTAAATTGGGAAAAGGCACAAATTCGGCAATTGATATTGAATTTAATGATGGTCACTGGACCTTAAACAATGGAAAAAATCCCTTTTTGAATCAAACCGAAAAGAACAGTTGCTGCTTCGAAGTGATTGCGTATCAAGTGAATTTATCACCGCTGGAAATTCGAAAAAAGTGTCTCAATGAATTGCGAAGGCACGAAAATTATTATGGGGGAATTTTGGATAAATTAAGAAAAATTCAAAATTGGCAGGAAGTTTTAGATTCTATGATTGGTGGAGCGAGGTATCAAGGAAGATCGCCTTATGATGCAGCGAGAGTGATCGATGATTCCCAGAATGGAAGATGCCATCCTGGTGGATTAAAAGGCCATCCTCGAGGACATGCTTCGCATCCGAGCGCAACTGGATCTGACGATTCGGTTGAAAATTATTCCAGAGGAAGTTGGAAAACGGGATTTTTGAGCAGAAACGATCAAAATTATGTTGGAAATTTGGCATTTAATACAAGTTCTGCTCAAAGGGCGATGGAATCGTTAAATAATGGTTCAAATAGTGAAGCGGTAAATTTAAGTATCAGAGATTTGGGGGAAGATGATTTGCCTCAAGGACAGGAGTTTAGAAATGGTTCTGCCGATGGAAGTCCGAGAAGAATTTCGGTTTTGACAATAGTATTTAGACATCATATGCAACAGCAAAATAATAGAATGGCCGATGTCTTTGTTCACACTTTTTATCCACGATTATAATTTACCAAAAAATCTCTAAATTTTAAAAATGAAAAGAAAAAAAATTGAAAATGCAACGATAATTACGAATTTACAAATTAAAAATTTTAAAATTCTGAATTTTTACAAATTTCAAAATTTATAAATTCGAAATTTTAAATTAGAAATAATAAATTTACAAATTGTAAATATTAAATTATAAATTTAAAAAATGTAAATTTTAAATTAGAAATTTATAAATTTGAAGAATTCAGCAAAATTTCTCTATTTGGATACAAAAATAGAGCGAAGCGAATTTGAAGCGAATATTAGAAGTAAAATAAAACTGAAATTCAAAATTCATTTGTATTCTTATTTCGGAGTTTATTAAAAAATTTTTTTTGTCTACTATAAATAAAAATAAATAATAAAAATATTAATTCAAAATTTTATAATACAAAAAGTACATAAATTATAATATTTCAATTAATTTTCTTCGTAATAGAAAAAAATATCATCGAATTTCTTAAAATCTGAATGAGAAAAAAATTTGATAAGTGAAGGCAGTCAGTTTGTAGAATTCAAAAAGAAAATTTTGACAGTTGAGAATTAAATTAGGTAGGTTAACATTTTAAGTAAATGAGAAAATCATTTAAAATTATTTGTGATATTAATTTTCCCCTTTTAGTATTCAAATTATTTATTAAAAATATAAAGTAGTGAGTACATTCACTTTGATTGATTTAAACGAATATTTGAGAAAGAAAAATACAAAAAGGCAATAAATAGAGAAAAAATGCAATACAAAAATAATAAATATAAAAAACAGTATAAATAATGAAAATAAAAAAATAATAAAAATAATAAAAATAAAAAAATCCAATAATAATAAAAATAAGAAAATTGCAGTACAAAAAGAATAAATACAAATTTTATTTCTCCAAAAGAAAAAAATTAATTTAAATTCGACATTACTTTATAAACTATAATTTTCAAAAATATTTAAATTTAATTTCCAATTTAATTTGATTTGAAATAAATAAATAAAAAAATGTATTGTAAAAATAAATTTTTCTCCAGGTTTATTGAAATAGTATGGCACCAAGAAAAAAGAATACAAATGAACCGAAAAATAATCTCAAATGTAAAGGTTCGAGAATTAGAAAGGCATGCATCAAGAAATTGTCAACAGTGAAAAAAGTGAAGACAAAAAAATTATATGAAGACGTATTTAGTAATTATGAAATTCAGGAGAATTGTGCTTTGAAAAATTTACGAAATCATGCAACATCAATGAGACTTGGTTTTATCAGTGATTTAATACAATTAAACAGTCGAATTTATACGCCATTAAATCCACCGTTATTTATTCTCTGGCAAAAGGGAGTGAAGAGAACATTTCTCGATGATTTTTTGCAAAATTTAGAAAATAACGACGAAGATGACAATAGTAGAATAGAAGCATTGGCAAATCTTTGTTTGTGCAGTGAAATTATTACGGGTGTTAATTTATTTATTACAGAAATGAAAAAGTGTCGAACAAAAAGAAGAGTAATAAAAAAATTATTTAGAAAGTATTTTGGTGATTTTGGTGAATTGGTGATATTTTTTTAAAATTCCGCTTCTATTTTATTCTATTTTTATTATTTTTCCGTTTCTATTATTTTGAATAGCAAAAAAATATATTTTTTCATTTATATATTGAAACGAAAAATTTTATAATTTGAAATATTTCTTTTATTCAAATTGAATTTATCTATTTTATTTTAAAAATATTTTTAAATAGAATTTAAATCGGTAATACTTATTTTTCTAAAAATATTTTCAATTAAAATTGTTTAATATTTTAAAATAAAATTTAAATTGATAGTATTTTCCTAAAAATATTTTTTAATTAAAATTGTTTACTTTTTTTGAGTAAAATTTAAATTGATATTTTTCTAAAAATATTTTCAAATAGAAAAATATTGTAAAGAAATTAAATTAGTTTCTAATTTAGAAATAATTTCAAATAGAAAAATATAAATTTAAATTCTATTTGAAAATATTTTTATTTCCTATTAAGAAATTATTTTTATTTAAGATTTGTTAACATTTTTCCAAATAAAAAAAAAAGGATTATATATTTTTTTTATTAAAAATTATTTTCCTTAATTGATATACCTATTAAAATAGAAAAGTTAATTTTGAAATATTTTTCTTATCAAAATTGAACTTTCTTATCGAAAAAAAAAAATTTTTTTTCGTTAAACTTGAAGGCAGCTACCCTTAATTATTTTGTCAAGACAATAAACCAATTTCACTTATTTCAAATACTGTAAAACAGTATTGACAGGTAAAAAAATATTATCAAAATTTCAACAAAAAAATTGTTTCTAAAATTATCAAATATTGACCATGTGAACAAAAATTAATTATTACTCATTAAAAGTAATTTTAAAAACAAATTATTAATTCAGTGTTTCTAAAAGAAAAATTAAAGGGATATTTTGAGGAAAAGTAGAAAATTATGAGAACTGTGGGTATTTTTTTTATAAATAAAAAAAAATGTATTGTGAAAATATAAATACAGCTAAATAGCATTTTTTTAAATATATATAGGAATTTAAAATTGTTTCAAAAATGAAATTATGAGAAAATTGAAAAAAAATGTAAAGAAAAATGAACAATTTGCTAAACAGAATGTAATGAAACATAGAAAGGAATTAAAAATTATTGAATTATTGAAAATTGTAAAACTTCTCGAAAATCGAAATGATCGAATAAATCCAATGGATTCGGTGATAATTGGAGCAAGATATATTGGTAAAAATGAAAGCGATGGAAAGAGAATTTTAAATAAATCCCAAAATGGAATTTCTTATCCATATTTTGAAAAGGGATCTCCTCGGGCACATGCTTCTTATGAAAAATCGAAAAGTAATTCTAAACATTTATTTTTAAAGATTAAAAATTATTAATTAAAATTAAAGAATTGGAAAATTATTAATTTTAATTATTATTTATTTATTATTTATTTTTTAAATTATTAAAGGCTTTTTATTAATTATTAATTATTATTTAGGCATTAATTATTAATAGTTAATTATTGATTATTAAATATTAATTAAAAATTTTAATTAAAAAATTTTTTTTATTTTAATTTTTTTTTTCTTTTAATTGTGTGATTAGATTATTTGGGATCAGTGCAAAATTACTCGAAAGACAAGAGGACAACGGCATTTTTGAGTAGAAGTGATCAAAATTTTGTGACTCATTTAGCACTCGACACTGAAACTGCCGAGAAGGCGATGAATCGATTGAATAATGGTTCTGTCGAGGAAAAAGTGGAAATTTTTGCCGATGAATTGGATCACACAGATCTTCCCCTTGGCATTGAATATTTAAATGGAAAACCAGTGGGAAAAGCGAGGGAAATAAAAAGTGTTAAACTTGTACTAAGACATCATATGTCGTCATATGGAAATGTTTGCGCTGACGTTTTTGTAAAAACAATTTATCCAAAATTAGTTTCGTTATTTCCGATCAAAAAAAAGAGGAAAAAAAACAAAAAATTGTAAATTATTGTAAAAAAACCATTTTTTATTTTCCATTTCAATAATAAAAAATAAAAATAGTTTGATTCAATTCAATTTTTATTTTATCATTACTTACTTTTTTTTAAGTAAATTTTTTTTTCTAAGTAAATTTTTGTCAATTTTTATCTGAAAAAAATTTATTGAAATGAAGTTGTCTTTGTTGAAAGTTGTAAACAGTTATAAATTGACAGTTAAGGAAAATTTTTCATTTCGAATGTAAATTATTTATTAAAATTATTTATTAAGAAAAAGAATTAGAAGAAATTTTATATAGAACTTCTTTTTTCGCAAAAGTAATTATATTTCACTAACTTTATTATATATTTCAAAATTAATTTTCACTAACGGGTGTTATAGAAAAAATTATAATAAAAAATAACCTAATATTAAGTAAAAAATAAAAATAAAATTTGATTTTTAGTTTTCGAAATGAGACCAACAAAAAATTTGGATAAAAAAATACTCGTGCCGAAGAAAAAAACCTCGTTAATAATATCAAAAAATTCCAAACAATCGAAACGAGTAATTTCAAAAACAAAAAATAAATTTAATCCAAAAAAGCAGAAAATTGATGAAATAATAAAAAATTTAGAAAATAATGGACCAGCTGGATTATTTCATTTGAGTTTTGTGAGTAAAGCAATAAAAAGAAGTATTCGTGTGAGTAAATATAGAAAACCACCGCTCTACGTTATTTGGAATAATGAATCGACAAATTCATTTATCGATGTTGTTTATCATAAACGAGGACGTTGGACAGAAAAAGATGAAAATTCAAAATTACAAATCAATCCGTACAATAATAATTCTCTATTCAATGCAATCAGTGCAAAAATTGATGAAACACCGAGAAAAATTCGTCATTTAACAATAAATGAAATGAAGAATAATAGAAGTAGTGTTGAAAAACAAATAGAAATTTTCGACAAAATAAAACACGAAAATTCACGATCTTTACTTTATGGTAAAACTAAAACGACTAATGATAGTGTGAATGAAAGGGGAAAAAAATTTAGAACAAAAATATCTTCAAGTGGAGATCAAAAATTAGTGTAAATGATAGAAGTTTGTTTTTTTCTTTTGAGAAAACATATTCATTTTTAGGGATAATTGAAAATTTATTATGTCAGCAAAATTAATTGTGAATAAAAATTCAGTTCTTATAAAATGTTAAAAAAAGTAAATCCGTTGAGTTTCTCTTTTTATTTGCAGTACAGTCGACTCTCGATAAAGTCATTCTCAAGAGGCGTTGACATAATCACTAGTAACTTTTTTTCTACCATTTTTTCACACTAGTAATATTTTTAATAACTTTCTGTCCCTATTGTAATATTATTAGTAATTTATTGTCCCTGCAATCATATTTTATTAACTTTGTATTACTCTAGTTTTTGTTACTCTAATAATATTCTATTAACTTCCTAGTCACTTTAGTAATATTTTTACAAACTTTTTGTCTCTCTAGTAATAATTTTACTGACTTTTTGTCACTT